TGAGCCAAATTTTCTGGTAGTGCATCCCAGCACTCAGAGGCAGGCAGATCTCTGAGTTTAAGGTCAGCCTGGTCTACAGAGTGAATTTCAGGACAGCCAGGGCTACACAGAGAAACCCTGTCTAGAAAAACCAAGAATAAAATAAATGATATTGTTACAGAGGAAACTGAGAAGATTCAAATACTCCTAAAGATACGTTTGATCTATATAAAAACATATTGTTGGGCTGGCAAAAGGCTCAGGGGATAAAAGCACTTCCCATGGAGACCGACAACCTGAGTTCAATGCCCAGAACCCACATTTTAAAAGCCAGGTGCAGCAGGCGTTGGTGACTCGCGCCTTTAGTCCCCAGCACTCAGGAGGCAGAGGCAGGCAGATCTCTGAGTTCAAGGTCAGCCTGGTCTACAGAGTGAGTTCCAATACAACCAGGGCACACAGAGAAAACCTGTCTCAAAAAAACCAAGCAAGCATATAGGCAGATAGTAGACAGAATGAAGCCTGGTGCAGGACTCAGTCTGCGGTAAGCGTGGACCTGCTTCCGCAGTGGCGTGCAAGCCTGGAGTGTGAAGTATGCACAAACAAGAGAGACTCTGCCTCAGCGAAAGAGGAAGGAGAGAAGCAACTGCCAGAAGTTGTCCTCTGACCTCCACAGGTCACCATGGCACATGGGCATCCATACTCTCTCCCACACACACATTACACACAATATAGCAGCATACTAACAATATATAAACACATAGACAAAAGGAAAACTATCATTACAAACTTTTCCCCCCAGAGACAGGGTTTCTCTGTATTGTTCTGGAGGCTGTCCTGGAACTTGCTCTGTAGACCAGGCTGGCCTCGAGCTCACAGAGATCCACCTACCTCTGCCTCCCGAGTGCTGGGATTAAAGGTATGGGCCACCACTGCTTAGCCAGCAGTGGCTCTTAACCGCTGAGCCATCTCTCTGTGCTACAGACTATTATTTGAGTGTTTTAGTATATTGTATTGGGAAAGGAGTATCAATATATGAATTGATACACTAATATTTAGTAGGTTTTTGTTTGTTTGTTTGTTTTTGTTTTTCTAGACAGGGTTGCTTTGGAACCTGTCCTGGAACTCGCTCTGTAGACCAGGCTGTCCTCAAACTCAAAGAGATCCTCCTGCCTCTGCCTCTCCAGTGCTGGAATTAAAGTCATGTGCCACCAGTGCCTGGCCACTAGTTCCTTATTCATGGCATCTAATTTTTCACAGTTTCGAGGAACATTTGAGTACTAGCCATTAACGCTTAACAGTGTGAAAACTCTTGTGGGGAGAGCAACTTACAGAGACCAGCCCACCTTTTATTGACTGCTTGTGTCTTCAGCCTTTCTCTGACTCTGAAGTCCACCTCATCAAGCTTTTTCCTGTCACAATAGGATGCTACCCTCTCGCAAACCCTATCTTTTTTTTTTTTTTTAAAGTGCTGGGCATGGTACAGATGCATACTTTTTTTTTAAGATTTATTTATTTGTTATGTATACAGTGTTCTGTCTGTATCCATGCCTGCAGGCCAGAAGAGGGCATTATTACAGATGGTTGTGAGCCACCATGTGGTTGCTGGGAATTGAACTCAGGACCTCTGGAAGAGCAGTCAGCGCTCTTAACCTCTGAGCCATCTCTCCAGCCCCGCAAACCCTATCTTAACATCTGTTTTTTGAAATTTTGTTCCTTACTAATACCTTTCTGTATGCTTTTCATATTTAGTTGTTCTATACCCAAAATAATATTCTCAAAGAATTTTTTAAAAAATTGAAAACTGTAATACACAAAAAGTTGTCTATTGTTCCCCCTCATCTCAGTTTTTACCTCTAGTGGTAACTAGCGGTTGGATTTTATTTTGATTTTTTTGTATTTATTTTTATTCTATGTAATTTTTTCTGTATATAGGTCAGCCAGTTTGTCTTGTATGTATTCATAGGTGCGTACAAATATTCCAAAACCTGGGAAAATCTGAAATTTGAAATTCTTTTGGTTACAAGCATTTTGGATAAGAGACATGCATCTTGCACAATGAAATAATATGCAGCCATTGAAAAGAGAGGAAAAAGGTAATTATGAATAAGGAATCATGTCATAGATATGTGCATGCAAAAAATAAAGTTTGTTATTCAATGTGTGTTAAATGTAACTCGGGTAAGAGAAAAAAAGACTTTTACAATTATCTCTGGATATCCAAATCTATTTATATTCAAACTGAGATAGCAAGAATTGAACTTTAAATAGTGAATTCAGATGGGGAAGGGTGATATATTTTCCCAACATATTTTGTTTCAAGGTAGACAGCAGATACCAAGAGACTGAACTAAGAAAAAGTCAATCACCTACGTTGGTGGCATACACCTTTAGTCCCAGCACTCAGAAGGCAGAGGCAGGCAGATCTCTGTGAGTTCGAGGCCAGCCTAGTCTACAGAGCAAGTTCCGGGACAGCTAGGACTACACAGAGAAACACTGTCTTGAAAAACCACATAAATAAATAAATAAAACCTAATTCTTACTAAAATCAACACAAATATAATAAGTGTCCAAACACCAATGCACATAGGCAATTTTACAATTGAAACTAAACAATGTGATTATACAAAATAGTTGCTCATAAATTCAAACACAAATCTAAACTCTAAGAGTTTAGCAGTGTCCGTGCACGACACCCAATGGGCAGCCAACTCCTTTAAAGAACAGCAGTGTTAGCCTCCTTGAAACCCCTGTAAACCACCTCTCCCCATGCCTCCCAAACTTCCTTCATTAAAGCCAGACAGGATCTACTGTCAGCCACTTGATTCTTGCCCATTGTCTTCATCAATAATGAAAGTATCACCTTTCTCCCACCCTGATGTGCATAATTTTTACATGTGTGTGGGGGGGGATAATCTTCTTGTACACTGTGAAGATGTGTCTCTGCCAAAGCACCTTCTGATTGGTTCAATAAAGAGCTGAATGGTCAATAGCTGGGCAGGAGAGGATAGGCAGGACTTATGGGGAGAGAGAGGAAGGAGCTGGGGGAAGAATCTGGCATGAGGGACTCACCAGCAAGACATGGAGGGGGTCCAGTGAACAGTATGGAAAAGGATGTAGCCAGCCACATGGCAGAACGCAGATTAATATAAATGGGTTAAATTAAATTATAAGAGCTAGTTGGGAACAAACCTAAGCTAAGGTCAAGCTTATATAATTAAAGAAGTCTCCATGTCTTTATTTGGGAGTTGGTGGTCCAAAGAAGATTTCACTACATGAGTGTGAGAGAGAAAGACTCGTGTGGTTAGAGGACAACCCTTGGCAGCAGGATCTCTCCACACTGTAGGTTCTGGAGATTGAACTCAGGTTGTCTAGCTTGGCCGCAAGCTTCTTTACCTGCTCACCGAGCCATCTTCCTGGCCCCAATCATATGTTTCTGTCTTTTTAGCTCTAATTGTGCAATAAAAGGCCTTTCCCCCTTATAAAAAAAAAAAAAGACAAAGCAAAGCAGAAAGGACAGCTAGGTGCCCTGGTGTGTGCCTGTAATCCCAGCACTGGTGAGGCAGAAACAAAAGGGCTAGCCGTGGATGTGAGGTTGGACTGGTATACATAGCCAGTTCCGGACCAACTCAAACCATATCGATGGTAGAGGATTAGATTTGCCCACTACACCCAAGGCCCTGTATTCAGTTTCAGGTACTACATACGAAAAGGCAAATCGGGTCAGCAATTTTACCGGTGGCTGAAGGGCTGAAGGACTAATGTAGTCTTCTGTGACCTGGTACCAGGTATCCCCTACCTGCCAAGGGCTACCCTTTCCATCAAGGCCTGGTGTCCACCTTCCCCAAGGTTGCCTCCTACAGCTCTCCAGTTGCACTTATAGCTTCTTTCCTGCCCTCAATATGGACCCTTCCCATGCTTCCAATTCCCAGTATGCACAAAAGCATTATACTAGAAAGGTGGGTTCCCTCTTCCCCCACACACACACTATGATTTAAAGGCTTGATCCTACATCCTCTACTCCCTGAGCCCTAAGATGCTGCACATTTGAAACTAATTTAAAAGATTTGTATCCCGTAATTCCTAACTGAGAGGCTGTCCACATGTGTCCTTGAACCTCTCCTGTGGCTGGGAAGCATATTGCACGCTGCATTCATTTCACCCCGGGATGTGCTGGGCCGGATATTCTCATCTCCTCCCAACTCCCACTCAGCAGTAGCCTTGGCAGCTTTGACATTGGCAGCAGTGCGGGTATTTATGCCAGGAAAACCAGAGTGCTACACAGCCGGGCTGTGGACACCGAGCATGCTGTCAAGCATTCCAGCGCACCACTGGTGTGGGGATTCTTTTGGTTTCTAGTACCAGAGACCTGTCGTGGCGCTGATGAGTGGGTGACAGGGGCTGGGACGGGGCCTTGAAACTCGCCAGAGCTCTGCAACTCTTCTCTGTTTATCACGCTTTTTTTTTCCCTAACATCCTGCCTCCCCTGTTCCTCATCTGCCTGGAGATCACTTTGGACCTGGAAGACCTGCTCTGAGTCCAGTTTCCCTGGGAAACTGATGTCGGTCTTGGTCCCAAGTCCATCTTCTCAGGTAGGGACTTAAACTGGAAGAAACCTGTACCACAGCCGATGCCTGGTCAAGGCAAAGTCGGCAGAGGGAGCAGGAGTGAGGCCATCAGCGCAGAAAGATTAAAGGCTCACAAAGGCCTTCCTCAACCCTGACAAACCTCCCCCCAGCCTGGCATCAGTGAGGTGCCGCCACTGCTTATATCTGATGCCACCACAGGTTATCCAGAAGATATTGGGGGAAGAGTGTTCATCTCTGATATTTTCAGAGTATTTTCCCTCACCATTGCTCCCAAATACAAATTAACAGCTATTCGTTGGGAGTGATCACTGTTATTTAGAACCTCTTGTAAATATTGTCAGTCCTTTTTAAGAATAGTCTGTCCCCTCCCCAGCTTCCTAATGAATAGAACTTGGAAACATTCCACAATTAGATCACTTAACCCCCTCCCTCTGCGACCCTTTAGCCTTGCCAACACCTGTTACCTGCTTACCTTCAGTGACCTGGTTGCTAGGCAGCGACCCCTCCCTCATTGTCCTGTATCCCTCTCTCCCATCCCCCTACCTCATTTCCCCTATTGAAGCCAGCACAGAATTCTCCTTAAATGCAGCTTGATCAGCCTTGTCTTACCGTCAACTTCTCTTGTCTCTTGTCCCGTCTTTCCAGGTTCCCGTGGGCTCGACCTTCGTTGTGCCCTGCTGGACCAAGGCAAACTGGTGCCCAATGATCCGGCTCAAAGACTCTACGGACCCCAGGAATGCCGCTGCACCCAGAGGGGCAGGCCTGCCCACGTTCTCCACGCCTGAGGGGGGAAGGACCGGCTCTGAAGAGGTTGCCACAGCTCCACACGCTGTGAGACAGACTGCAGAGATCTCCATGGCTTTGCCAGGCCAGTGAGTCAGATCTGGGGGAATAACACAGCACCGCGGTGCAAGGTAAGCTTACACCATGGGACAAGCACTTAGTAAGCAAGATTCTTCATTAAGGGACTCAAGAAGTCTCTCAAGGCACGAGGAGTAAGGGATAAAATCAAGGATCTTAATGTATATGATTAGAGTTGTGAGACAAAATTATTGGTCAGATGATCGTATATTTACTTACTTGTGTATATTTTGATAGCCAGGAGAGCTGAAATAAAGCAAACCAAGTACATAAAGTTTTAGAGTTTGAAAGTTTTAAGCCGGGCGTTGGTGGCGCACACCTTTAATCCCAGCACTCGGGAGGCAGAGGCAGGCAGATCACTGTGAGTTCGAGACCAGCCTGGTCTACCGAGCGAGTTCCAGGACAGCCTCCAAAGCCACAGAGAAACCCTGTCTCGAAAAACTAAAATAAAATAAAAGTTTTAAAAGGATCCTTCCCTCTCACAGAAGCAACCACGGCAGCCTGTATCAGAGCTGCGCCAGGGCTTGGGGAAAGGGAAAGTGCAGCCGCGCATAGGAGAAGGACAGCATAAAATATCTGCCCCTGAAGCGGTTGGCAGAGACCTCCACACCTACTAGGAGCGGCTAGATGAGAAAGAACATACAGGGCAGAGAGACTGGGAACTAGAAAGATAAAGAGACAAAAATCTAGTGGTAAAACACGACAGAAGCTAAGAGGCTCTCACAGGAGATAAGAACTTTACAAGTTTCCTCAGATCAGAGAAATGTTCCTTTGTCTAAGGCAGCAGCAAGCATAGATCAGCCTAGGATGCGAGCGGCCCTCAAGTCTCGGCCGGCAGCCTCGGCAGGTCAGATGTCTCCAGTGCAGGTTAGGGTTAGAGAAGCGTCGAACAAAGGAGAAGATGTACAGGGATTTCAGACATTTCCTATGGCAGAGCATAGGGATGCTCAGGGAACCATTGGCAGGGTGTGAACTCTGATACCATTCACACAGCTCAAGGGACTAAAGATGGCTCGTATTCAGTATAGACCAACAGCAGTTTTTGTCCAGATGCTAATAGAGACTATTACTAAAGAAACCTTACCCTAGGAGATTGGAAGCTGAGAGTCAAGGACTGCCTACCAGAAGGGAACTAATTTGTTGTGGAAAGCAGAATTTACAGAGCGGTATCAGAACATAGCTGACTAAAATAGAGCCCAAAACCTTTCCGTTTCTTATGAGGTGCTCTCTGAGGAAGGACAATACAAAGATATAGATCAACAGTTAAGTTTTGAGGTAGCAATGTGTACACAGATTGGCACAGCTGCCAAGAGAACTTGGAACAAGCTTCCAGCTGCCAGGACACAGGCTAAAGGCTTTAGAAAGAGCCGGCAAGGACCTGAGGAGTTATTTCAGAATTTTGTCTCTAGGCTAACACAGGCATCATCCAAAATAAGGATACAGGTGTTAAACTTTTGATTGAGACAACTAGCTTATGAGAACGCTAATGCAGCACGCCAGGCCCAAAGGACGAAGGCGAGGAAGGCCAAGGCCAAAGCCTAGGAAGCTCGCAGCCTTGAGAGCCGCTGCCATGGCTGACGCCCAGACAAACATATAGAAGATGCTATTAATACAGCCAGTCGGAAACTGTTTTAAGACCTTATAGAGAAAGAAAGACAACATGGATAAATTTGGATTTGTTCAGATTTTGGATGTTCATAATTCAAGGATTGACTACAGCTACTGTGTTTCAAGAGACTTCAATTAAGGATGTTTAATTTCAACTAACTAATCATAACCTAGGCAAAAGGAGAGATGAGAGACGTGCGCATGTTACATGTGTATGGTGTGGCCACATCGGTATGTATGAAATACAATTGTGAATGTGTGAATGTGAACTATCCGTATTGCCTTGGATATGGTTAAAAAGACTTAAATTGCTTCGGGTATAGTTAAAAAGCTACTTAAATTGCTATGGATACAGTTAAAAAGAGCATCTAGTCAGTCAATGTCTTAACAGGAAAGATGAAAGATTTAAGCCTTCAGAGCCAGTCAATGGAAAATAGCAGAAGCCTACAGCATGGCCTAGGAGCCAAGAGAATCTATATGGATTATTCAATAAAATTTAGCAGAGGAGAGGATACAGCGATCCTCCTAAATTTTTATGGTTACAAAAAATCTAGGGAATAAAAAAAGTTAATACATGATTTAGAAAGTTTTTGAGAAGACGACTCTGGGAACTGCCTTTTGATTAGGACCTACCCACAAAGGTGTCAGTGTAGATGCAAATTAGGCCATGTCAACTCAGATGCAAATGAGGCCTTGTCAGCTAGTGAGAGCTTTACTGGTTAGATTGGAAAAGACTGCTCACAAATTTTAAATAATTTTCAAAAGTTATTTGGGACATATGTTATGCTCTGATAAAAATTAAACCTCAATTTGGAGAATTAAAAAAGATAGTTTACAATCTTTGAGTGATTTTTCCGAAGTTGTTGGGAGATAGTCAATGGTTATGTCCCTTTTTAAAGGACATTCACAAGAACCAAGTGCGATACATGTTCCTTATTCCAAATATCAAGTTGATTTGTTGTTTCAAAACAGTGGCTCATGGGAAATTGCTTTTGCTCAATTTTCAGGGAGAATTGATAATCAGTTTATAGCCCATAAGTTGTTACAGTTTGAGCTAATACATCCTTTTATACTCTTCAAAATAGTAAACAATAGTCCTGTAAAAAATGTTGTGCTAGTTTTTACTAATGGTTATTCTAATGGAAGAGCAGTTTATGGTATAGATGGTAAGAAATATGTGGAGCAAACAACTCTGGCTTCGGCTCAGATAGCCAAGTTATGAGCTGTCACAATGGTTTTTCAACTTCTAGTAAATGATTCATCTAATTGTATACTGACAATCATGTTTTTAAAGCTCTTCAAATAATAAAGACAGTTCAGTGCATTGGAACTAACAGTGATCAGGTTAAAAAATTATTTGAGCAAATTCAAAATGCAATTGCCATGTTCTGTGGGTAACATAAGAGCTCATTCAGACCTTCCCAGCCCACTGGCTAGAGAAAACTAGTCAACAGATAGATTAACAAAATTGGTCACTTTGACTCTGGTAGAGAGAGCGCTACAGTCTCATAATTTTCATCATCAAAATAACAGAAGTCTAGGAAAGCAATTTGGTTTAACTAGAGAGACTGCTTGTCAAAATTGCCAAGCAATGAGGTGTGCCCACAATATTTATCTGTAATTAATTTAAAAGTGAACCCTAGAGGCCTACTTCCTAATCATTTATGGCAAATGGATGTTACTCGTGTTACAGAGTTTGACAAGTTAGAATATGTACACATGGCAGTTGATAGGTATTCAGGTTTTTTGATGGCCACCACACAAACTGAAAATGTCACCAAGCATGTGATAAGTCACTGTTTAAAATGTTTTGCTCACATGGGAGTTCCAAAAGTGATAAAGAACAGACAATAGGTCTGAATAGGTCTGAATATTCTAATAAAGCATTCAGCTATTTTGTACTCAATAAAAAAATCAATGCCAGGTGCTATAGCTCATTCCAATAATGAACACATGATGGCTATATGTACTTTACAGCCATACCCCACTCTTATTACTCTGGTAGTATGGGTGGCAATTGGTCTGTAACCCCCCAGATTTTTGGCAATTATAAATATGCCCAGGCTTCCTGCCATGCTCCTCTGGGAAAAACAGGCTGTTGAAATAAAGTAGCTCCCATTCAGGTCCCACCGATGCAGTATGACAAGTTCAGGTACAGACTCAGATTCAACACATGATTGATTCCATGATCCCACAAATTCACATCCATCCCCTATTACTCCCCAAACCTAGAAGTGTTGATATAGATCCTCAAACCTTTGATATCTTAACTGCTACTCATCCTGCCTTAAATACATCTCACCCTCTACTGGCAGAAGATTGTTGGTTATGTCTAACTTTAGGAGCCTCCTGGCCATAGGCCATTCCACTCTACAAAATTTCTCTGTCAAATATCTGCCACCTCTGAGTAGTTTTTCTCTTGGTATTCCCTTTAAGATTCAACCCACCAGGTTTAATTTTTCCTCCTGCTTTTATAAACATTTTCAAAACAATAGTTTTGGAATATATGTAGGGGAAGCATCCTTCACGTCCTGTTCTTCAGTGACTAAAGTCACCACAGCTCTCTGTCCAGGGTCTGGGCAAATTTTTGCTTGTGGAAATGGAATGGCCTACTCCATGCTGTCTGCCAACTGGACAGGACTATGTATCCTTGCTACTCTCCTTCGTGATGTAGACTTAGTTCCAGGAGATGAGCCTCTTCCCATACCCAGCTTTATTTTGTTCCCAGACATAAAAGAGCAATTCAATCTATTCCCCTTCTTATTGGGCTCGGGGTAACTGGAGCCCTGGCCACGGGTGCCTCTGGACTCAGAACTGCCCTCAGTACATATCCCAAAATCTTGCTGACAACGTAAAAACAATTTATAAGTCAGTGCAAGACCTGCAGGATCAGGTGGATTCCCTGGCTGAGGTGGTCCTACAAAATAGGAGAGGCCTAGCCTTACTTACAGCAGACAAGGGAGACATCTGTTTGACTCTGCAGGAGAAATGCTGCTTTTACACCAACAAATCAGGCATTGTTCGAGACCGAATCAAGAAACACCAGGAGGAACTTGAACAACGCCGCAGAGAATTATTCAACCAGCCCATTTGGAGTGCCTTACTAATCTCCTGTAGCTAGGACCCTTTCTCTTTAACAAACTGATGGCCTTCGTTAAAAACCAGATTGACACTGTGACAGCACAGTGTATCCAGGTACACCATCACCGCCTGGATATGGCCGATATGGGATACAATTGTGATGAACCTTAATCACATGTCGCCTGCAAAATGGCTTTAAAACCACCTTTGTCTCCACATGATGCTTTAAATCATGCACTATTCATTTTAAAATTCTTAAATGTGGATGCCAGTAAACAATCTGCTACAGACAGATTCTGGCATGATGGAACTCGAGTGCTTTTGCAGGTCAGATGGAAACATCCATACACTAGACAGGGGAAAA